GAGGATTGTGAATTTAAGACAAGCCAGAGCTACGCAGCACTCCAGAGGCTGAGGCAGGAGGATCAGAGTGAGTTTGAGGCCAGCATGGGCTATGTAGTGAGTTCAGGGCCAGCCTGAACTACAAAGTGAGACTCTGTCTCAAAAAAGCAAAACAAAACAAAGCAAACACAAATCAGTCACATTTGCATACTTATACACTAGCAATGACCAGCCTGAAAATTTAATTAAATCAATTTCATTTACAATAGCATCAAAATAAATAATATGCTCTGAACGAATCTCCTTTAAAGAGAAAGAAGACTAGTATATTGCAAATTAGAAAATATTGCTGAAGGAATTGAAAATGACATATTAAAAACACCCTGTGTTCCTGAATTGGAAGAATGAATATGGTTTTATGGCAATATACTAAAATCTTTAATGGCTGAAATCCATATCATCCCAATGACCATTCTTACAAAAAACAGAACAGCTGAATCTAAACTTCATATGGAATTGCAAGAAATCTGAAAAGCCAAAACAATTATTTTTATTTGTTTTTCTTTTTGAGACAGGGTCTCCCTAGGTCATGTAAACCAGTTTAAAACTGAAGATCCTACTGCTTCAGCCTCCCCACTACTGTGTGTGCCCCCAAATCAGGCTGAAAACAATTCGTAAGTAAGAAACACAAGATGGAGGACTCACACTTCCATATTTCAAAACATACTACCAAGGCTAAAGTAATCACAGCAGTGTGCTACTCAAGACCATGGACTTGGCAGTGCTTTCTTGAATACGTTGCTGAAAGTATAAACAGAAAAAAGGAAGATTTGACCTCATGAGAATTTAAAGGTGTTTTTCACTGAAGGATATAATGAATAATTCAAAGGGGTAGCTAGTAGAATAAAAGAATACATGTCCAAATCAATTATCTGAAAAGTATGAATACTCAAAATACCTGAAGAACTTTTATCTCTCAAAAGCAAAAATGAAATACAATTTTAAAAAATAGTCAAGGAAGTGAAGAGACAGCCTACAGAATGGGAAAATATTTTGTTAGCTACTCCTCAGAGAGAAGAATAATATCTAGAATATATAAACAACTCACCTCCCCCAAGTAAAGGACTCAATCAATAAATGGGCAATGAAAATGCATAGATACTTCTCAGAAAAAGAAATACAAATGGCCAATAAATGCATGAAAAAATGTTCAACATCTCTGACCATTAGAGAAATGCAAGTTAAAACAATATTGAGATTCCATCTTACTCCAGAAAGAATGGCTACCACCAAGAAATTAAATAAAAATAAATGCTGGTGAGGTTGTAGGGGAAAAAGGAACCCTTCTACATTGTTAGTGGGAATGTAAACTAATACAACCACTAAGGAAATCAGTATGAAGATTCCTCAAAAAACTAAAACTACAAATTCCATTCGACTGAGCTATTCCCCTTCTAGGTATCATACCCCCAATTTAAAGATATCATATTACAGTGATACATGCATACCTATGTTTATGTCAGCACAATTCATAATAGCTAAATCTTGGAAGATGTCTATATGTGCATCAACTGATGAATGGATGAAGAAAATGTGGTATTTATATACAATGGAAGAGTACTCTGCCATAAAGAAAGATAAACTTGAGTTTTTGCAGGAAAAAGGATACACCTTCAGACCATAATGTTAAGTGAAACAAATGAGACATGCAAGCTTAAATATCACAAGGCTCCTCTTATACGAGAAACCCAAACTATAAATAATTCAAAGACCAAAATAAAAGATAACAGGAAAAAGGTACTTAGAGCTTTTGCAAATGGAAAAAGGACAAAGAGGTGGAGGAAGGGAAGAGGAAGTAAAAAGAACTAAGATGTATTATGTACATATAACAACTCCTTATGATGAAAGTAATCATTATGGGGCCAGGGATTTAGCTCAGTGGCTCCGCTGCCTGTCCCTGCAAGCACAAGGACCCGAGTTCAATCCTCGGTACCAGAAAGTAATCATTACGTTGCAAACATACTAATAAAAATAAAAAATTAAAACAATTAACTTGAATAGATATTTCTCCGAAGTAGTTTTACAAATGCCCAACGAGCATATGAAAAGATAATATTATTAGTTGTATGCATATACAAAGAATAACCATCTCATGTTGCCATTTCACGTATAGTAAATTGGACCTTTTTAAAAACCCCAAAAAAGAAAAAGAGAAGTATTGGCAAGGGGGTAGAGAAAATGAGATCTCATACAGTGCTAGTGGGGAAGCAAAATTATTCAGTTGCTATGGAAAACAGTTTGTGATTACTTAAAAAAAACAAACACGGAATCAGGATATGAACTGGCAATTCCATTCTAAGGTATATACCCCAAAGAAGTGAAAACATGTAATAGAATAATTACTTCTGTATTCATGTTTATAGTAGCACTAGTAACAATAGCCAAAAGGCAGACTGAAGCCAAATATCTATCACTCAATGAATGAATAAACAAAATGGGGTATGTATATACAAGGAATATTATTCAGCCATGAGAACAAAGGAACTGTTAATAATGCATGAACTTAGGAAGCATTGTGCTCTGAAACAGGCAAGCAAGAAAGGCCAATTTTTTTTTTTTTTTTTTTTTTTGGTGGTACTGGGGATCGAACTCAGGTCCTTGTGCTTGCGAAGTAAGCAGAGGAACCACTGAGCTAAATCCCCAGCCCCAGGCCAGTTCTTATATTGATTCATTTTGTGTGAGCTCCCTGGTAGAGGTCACCTCATACGGAAAAAAGCAAAATAGTTTTTGCTGGCAGGTAGGCAGGTTGGGAGGAGGGGAGTGGGGATTGTCTACTTAGTGGGTCCAGGGCTTCTTTTTGTTGTAATTAAAATTATGTGGAACTAGATAGAGGTACTGCTGACACAGCACTGTGAATGCAATGAATACCACTGCACTGCATACAGTGAAATGGGTAATCTTATGTTCCATGGATTTTACTTCAATTTTCAGAAGTGGCAATATTTTTAAACGTGTCACTGGTCCTCCTAAATATTAATTATTTTGAAAAACCCTTAAATTCTCATTGAAGAACACTTGCTATAAAAAGAATTTGAACATTGTTTTAGGAATCTACATATGCATAGGAAAAGACAATAATACATGGCACAACTGTGTGTCTGTGTATATATGTTTGTGTGTATGTGGTACTGGGGGATGAATCCAAGCCATTCCAACACAGCACAATGTCAGCTCTTTAAAATTTTGTTTCTTTCTGTTTTTCGGGGGGGGGGGCACCCAGTCACACGGTCTTGCTAAATCGTTAAATTGCCTAGCCTTGGCTCCAGCTAGTAATGGTCACGACCTAGGTTTGAAGAATGTTGGATTGTAGACCACTATCCCCCTTTCCCCTGCCCCTCCCTAGGACATTTTAAAGAAGCTTATTTCTTCTCACTGTGACTGGCCTGCCAAATGCTCTTTATAATTTCTTAAAGATCCAGAGTGAAATATAAATAAAGCACCAAGCACTGAAAAATGTATATTAATATGAATATATGGCAATGATGTATACGGTGCTGCTAGGGCTTGTGTAAAGTCTCACATTCATACATATGCATACATTTACATCTAAGAGAAATGAGCATGTGTGGTGTATGTAGGTACAACACTGTGGAAACATGTAGTTTTTCTGCATACACAAAGTTCTAAAGCCTGTATATTTGTGATCATGGTCAGTGTTAGAGTATGTGTGTGTATATGTATTTTTATTTGTATGTATGTAAGCAGACATTAATGAAAAACTGCAGCTGCATGTGAGTGGTGTGCATACATGTATCTTTAAGTACTCTCTGGGCACACGTTAGGGTGCCTGATTACAAAATATGCCAATTTAGGTTAATTCTTTTTGAAGTTTGGTTTCTTTCACTGGGGCTTTCAAGAGTTTCAAGAGGATCACCTGAAGTTCAAGGCCATATTGGGCTACCTAGTTAGGTCAAAGCCAGCCTGCAGTACATACTGAGAACCTATCTTGGTAAAACAACAAAACAAAACAAAGACAAATCAGGATTACCAGGGATTTAGTTCAGTGGTTCTGCCACCTGCCTCGAAAGCACAAGGTTCCGAGTTTGATCCCTGGTACCAAAAACAAAAAAATCCCAAAAAACCAAGACTCGGGATTTATGGTAAAAGTTTTTTTCCCCTCCTGCAGTACTGGGGCTTGAAATTAGGCCCTTTCTACTATGCTTTATCCTTAGCATTTTTTTTTTGAGCCTGAGTCTCCCTAGGTTGCTGAGTTGCCCAGGCTGTTCTTGAAATTGCAATTGCCCTGCATCAGCCTACAGGAGAGCTGGGAATAGAGGAATGAGCTGCTCCACAGAGTAGCTTGAGAATACAAAAACTTCCTGGAATCAGAAGTCAAAATATCCATTGCAAAATCTCCAGGCAATGAGTAACTAAAAAAATGAGTTAAATACAAATGTATTGTGTTATTTCAATCTCTACTTAAAAATTTGTCTCTATGTATTGAAAGAATGGGAGTAGATATACAAAAGATGATCACTATGTAATATAAAGTTTTATGATGGTGCGAAACTCTTGATGAGTATATGGCTATTTCCTGAATTCATTGCAAGCTCCATGCCTGAATTATCAAAGAGAGAATGTAAGAGATTTCCCTAGGTGAAAACAATAACCCACATACACAGTACACACATAGGATCCAGGGATAGGCTACTTCAAATGGGAAAATTCTTGAACATTAAAGGATGATTCCCTGGGACCAAAATGATCTCTCCCATTGGAGTAGTATATACACCTTCAATTATAGGTGTCACTCCAGGGAAGACATTATTCAGCCTTCAGCCTGTTAGCTTCACCTACAGTCAGTCTCTGATTACCATACAAGGACTGGTGCTTAGGTCAGAGTATGGAGTAGGACTCCAGGGGAACCCAGGACTTGTGTCAGGATGAGAACCAAGCACCCTGGAGCCTAGACCCGTTCTTCATCAAGCCCACAGTTTTAAGTATTTTGCTTTCCTTCCTAGGCATGGATCTCTGCCTGAGATTTGGTCATCAATATCAGGAGACAATTTGATGATCGAGAGGAAGCACTGGAGGTAGAACGTTGCATCAAGAAGGATAATAATGGGAGAGCTTGGTCACTGGAAAATGATTTTGGAAAAGGGAAGCTGACTGATGAAGGTGGGTAGCTTCCATTATCACTTTTACAAAGTTCTTAAAGTGTTAATTTTATCTTCATTTTTGTGGAGCTGGGATTACACGGCACAGAGCCTTCCCTATTAACTCTATCATCAATATCAAATTGAAAGCAAAAGTAGTCTTCTAATAACAGTGGAACATATTTTCTCTAAATCAGCAAAGCACGAGGTAGCCCAAGCTCCAGTGTCTTTGTCTCTTTGCGCATTTTTTTTTCCAAACTCAAAAGGCGGAGGTAGAGCTCAGGGAAGTAAGCTGATTGGGTCTTCTGGTGCAACACTGCCACCGTGAGGAAGCGGTTTCTTAAAGCCTCAAGTCCTGAGCTGCTCCTCCATGAAGCCCTAGCCAATGAGGAGAGCAGGGCTTGCTTAGGTCAGATAGACCCAGACCCAAGCTGGACGCTCATACTTTTTTCTGAGGCCAGCAGAGGAAAGACACAAATGCAGAGGGTTGGGGCAGAACTTGGAGAGTGAGGGGCCAGGACTGAGCATGCAGCTGGCACCCGGGACTCCCTGTCTTTGTGCTCTCACACTGCCCCAGGGAGGCACCTAAAGCCCATACCACCAGGACATCATGTAAAGGCCCACTGAGAATGACTCCAAGTGGCAGGCAGAGGAGTCAGTACTCCCAACAGCCTGCAGCTAGCTGTCTGAGTGGGTCTCTGGTCCAGTCCTCCCCAGGGGAACCGAGGCCCCGCCCCCACGACTTCCTGGAATGGCGGCTGCCGGCAGGGCAGCTGCGGGTCCACTCCAGGTCCCTTACTCCCCACACCAAGGTAGGGCCAGTGTGTAAGTAAGGCCCTTGAGGGGCCCTTAGGAGAAGGCAAGGAGCCCAGTCTGGAGCCAAATCCTTTCATAATTCACAGCAGGTAGGCTCTTCGCCAACCCTTGGGTCTGATGGGAAACAAACCATAATGACAATGGGTGTGATGAAACTTTTTCCGCACGATGGCAGCAGTGCGCCGCCCACCTGTAAAAGTGGTGTCCTCCCGCCCTTCGTGTCGACAAAAAAGGGCTTCCCGAGACTGAAAAACCCAAGAAATATGGCTGCCTGGTATATTGCCCAACCTGGTGCCATAAGCTCACTGTGTCCTCTCTGTTGTGTTTGCATTTTTTTTTTTTTTTAAAGGCCCTTATCCACATTCCTTATTTGGCACCCTCCTAATATGTTTCAGTGCTTCTGAACATTGGTGATGTCCCGTTACAGAGCTTGGAGAGTGGACAGTCAGTTCTCAGCCAAGAGAGTACAGAGATTCTGATGGAGGAAGACATGAGCATGGGTGAGGTTTTATTCCAGGGTAGAGAGAGTCAGAAGATTTCACTCCAAGTGAAGTCCAGGAACTTATGGGCAATTGTTTGTTGTTTCTGTTGACTGGGAGAAAGGTTTGCAGGGCTCCACTTGCTGTCCTTGTGCTATGGGCCCTGTATCCCTTGTAGTAAGGATAAAACACAAAGGATAGGAGAGTTGCTGGTGACACATTACAGGAACTGGAATGCTTGGTGAGGCTCTCAAGTACACACAAAAGCCTGTAGGACCAGTTCAGGAATGTGAAGGCCAAAGAAGTAAGTGGTCCCTCCCATTCAAGCCAAGAATTCTGGAGAGTTCTTCTAAAGTAGGATTTCTAAAAAGCCAAAAGGAATATTCTGCATATTATAGCTAATCTGAATAAAAGACATGATGTACACCTCCATCTATTTTCGAAGCTTAAAGATGATTAAACTGTCAAGTGGTATTGGTCATTAATTTCAACAAATACCATGAAAAATTTGAAAATGAACACGTATTTAAAGTCCTTGCTGGAGCCCTGTATCTGACCTGTGACCCCGTTTCACTTCCTTATACATGACTATTGGGCTGAGTACATTGTGATGTCGCACATTAGTTTCTTGAAATGTCAGAAGCATGCAGCAGGGTGACATCAGTGAGCATGGTGAAAGGAGCAAGGCCAGGTCCCCGTGTCTGCACAAAAGCATCAGTGAGCCAGGACTGAACTTGCAAAACACGTCATAAACCAAGTTGGCACATCTCTTGGATGTCCCCAGCCTGGGAATGCTTGGAGAAGAAAGGGAGAACTTTTTTGGTTTCTGTTATTTTGAAAGATGGGACTGTGTCATTTTAAAATGCCTGATTGAAATGAGTGTCATTGAGAGCAAAAAGCCGTACAAAAAACAGGGAATTGAAGGTATCGTTCTGTGAAAGAATGAAGAACATGGGGAAACCAATCTTAGCCCCGTCCAGGAAGGAAAGAATACACCCAAATCATTGCATTTAGAAAAATGCAATGAAAAACTAATCAGAATTAGAAATGACAACAGACACCACAGAAATTCTCAAGAATGCAACTACTTTGAGAACCTGTACTTTAATAGATTAGAGAATTCAGAAGAAATGGACAGATTCCTAGAGATACGTAAGTTAGCAAAACGATACCAAGAAAATATAAAACCCTGAATAATCCAATAACAGGCAATGAAATGGAAGAAGTAACGAAAAAGTTACCAATTAAGAAAAGCCCAGGTCCCCATGGGTGCACCACCAAATTAAATAAGGCCAAGCTATCACTGATACTCCTCAAAACCTTTTCTGAAATTGAAAATAAGGAGTACTCCCAAAGTCATTCCTAGAAGCTAGCATTACCATGATCCCCAAACCACAAAATGACACAAAGAGAAAAAGACAACTGCATGCCAATCTCTTTAATGCACATAGATGCCCAAATCCTCAATGAAATACTGGCAAATAGAATGCAACAAGTCATGAAAAAGAGCATACACCATGACTAAGTAGAATTCATTCCAGAGGTTCAATGTATGCAAATCAATAAATGTAATTCATGACATTAAAATCACATAATCATCTCAATAGATGCAGAAAACGTCTTTGACAAATTCAATATCCATTTCTGATAAAATATAAACCCTAGGGCTGGGGATTTAGCTCCGTGGTTCCGGCCGCTGCCTCGAAAGCGCAAGGTCCTGAGTTTGATTCCCGGTACCAAAAAAATAAATAAAATAAAATAAAAACCCTAAAGAATATAGGTTTAGAAGAACCTAATGTCAATCTACTAAAAGCTACATATGACAAAACAAATGCTAGAATCAGATGCAATGGGAAAAATGTAAAAGCTTTCCCTCTAAAGTCAGGAATAAGAAAATGATGCACTCTAGCAGCAAGCACTCTTGTTCAATACAGTTCTCGAAACATTAGCGAGAGTTAATGGAAGAGAGAAATAAAAGGAATACGTATAGGAACAAAAGAAGTCAAACTATCTTCATCTGGCAATGACAGGATCCATAGATGACCCACAAACTTCCACCAAAAGACTTCTAGATCATATAAACAAATTCAGTAGTGTGACCGAATACAAAATGAATGCCCCCAAATCAATGATGTTCCTGTATACAAATAAAGTAGTGAATTTACCAGGAAACAAATTAGAAAATCATTACCACTCAAAATCAAGAACATTTAAATACATAGGAAGTAACCTAACCAAGGAAGCGAAAGAAGTCTATAATAAAAACCATAGCAGTCTGAAAAAGATTGAAGACACCATCAGAAAATGGAAAGATTTCACCTGTTCCTGGATAGGCAGAACCAATATTGTCAAAATGTTCACACTTCCAAAACTGAGGAACACTTTAACACAATCCCAATCACAATACCAAGAGCGTTGTTTACAGGACTGGAGAAAAGAATGCTAAAATTCATCTGGAGCCAGAAGAGATGCAGAATAGCAAAAGCGATCCTGGGCATCAAGAGCAAGGGAGGAAGCATCACAATCCCAAACTTCCAGTTATATTACAAAGGTACTGTGATAAAAACAGCATGATATTGGCAAAATAACAGACATATCGACCAATGGAACAAAATACAGGTAGCAGAAACAACTCTAGCCACATTTGGCTACCTGATCTATGACAAAAGGCCAAGGGGGAAAGATAGCCTTGTTAACAAGTGGTCAGAAAACTTGGCTATTCACATGTAGAAGAATGAGTCTAGATCCATAGTTCTCACCATGTATTGAACTAAAACCAAGATATAATGAAGATCTAAATGTTAAAAGAAAACTGCTTAATGTACTAGAAGATAAATAGGGGGAATTCTTGAAACATGGGCATAGGGAAGGGTTTTTGGAACAGAACCCCAAATGCACAAGCAATAATACCAACAATCAACAAATGAGATCACATCAAATTAAAAAGCTTCTGCAGAGCAAAAGAAACAACTAACCAAGTGAAGAGGCAAACTACAGATGACAATACAAAATTTGCCAGCAATTCCTTGGACCAAAGACTAATATCTAGAATATATAAAGAACTCAAAGAAATTAGACCCTTTAAAGCAGAAGACTCAGTGAGGAAATGGGCTACTGAAATGAACAGAAACTTCTTAGAAGTACAAATGGCCAGTGAATTCATAAAAAATGTGCCACATCTCTGGAATTCGAGAAATGCAAAATAAAACAACACTGAGATTTTATCTCACTCCAGATAGAATGGCTATCATCAAGAAATCAATCAAGAAGAAATGCTGCCTAGGTTGCAGGTATTAAGGAACCCTGCTACACGGTTGGTAAGAATGTAAATTAGAACAAGCACTAGGGAAATCAAATGTGGAGATTCTTCAAAAAAACCAAAACTAGAAATTCCACTTGACTCAGCTATTCACCTTCTAGATACCTTCCAAAAGAGTTAAAGGCATTATATTACAATAATACATGCATATCCATGTTTATAACAGCACAATTCCTAACAGCTAAATCTTTAAAAAGGCCTATATGTTCATCAGCAGTTGAATGTATAAAGAAAATGTGGTACTTACACACAATGGAGTACTATTCTGCTATAAAGAAGGATAAACTTGAGTCTTTTGTAGGAAAATGGGTGCAAGTTGAGACCATAATATTATGTGAAATAAATCAGATACACCATTTATATGCTACCATTTCTCTTATATGAGAAACCCAAAATATATGTCAAGTG